TTTGGTGCTTGTAAAGCCTAACCCCTTCACTCAGTCCCTGGCCCCTACACCATTTTTAGATTTTGGATTTCAGACATATTTTGCCATTTTAGCCACTCTACATCGTGCAAATAATTGGGACATTAAGCATAACAGGAAGGAAGTTATATTGAGCTTTCACAAGTACAGTATCACATCCAGGCTCCTTGAGGTCCTACCATGTAAAGATTTGCTGAAATTGTTGTAAGGATGAAACATTTTTGGTACAAAATTAGGTAAGAGAGGTAGGAGTTGTTCTTCTTGGAGTAAGAGAGATTCAGGGAAAATTTGATAGATGTTTACAAGACCATGGCAATTTAGATAAGATAAACAAGGATAAGCTAATGTGCAAATACACAGTTTTAAGATTTCAGGCAAAAGCAAGGAGGTTGAGAAGAAGAAGAAGGTTTTTTTTACATTGAATGGTAATCACCTGGAAATCATGACCTATGAGGGTGGTGAAAGCGGAAACAATCAATGATTTTAAAAAGTATATGAGATATTTAAGGAAAATAAACTTGAAGGACTATGGGGAATAAAAGGAGGTATGGGACTGACTGCCTTGCTGTACAGACACCCCCACGGATACGATGGGCTAAATGACCTCTTCTTGTGATATAATGTTTACATGGCCGAACCAGTGATTTATAAAGGTTCAGCATTACAACCTAGCTTTGTCTCTTGTACAGACTATCATTGCTTATTAAAATTACAAATCCTAAATGTTTTCTTTAAAACAATTTTGACAGTCCTACTACCTCAAAAGGATCATTGATGTGAACCCCAGTGCTGTCTGCTCTGGATTTTAAAAATTTTTAAAAATTCTTTCTCACAAAGACACTGCCCTGTACTACTCTGTACCACATTTCATTTGCCTTTAATGAACCTATGACTCTTCTTCCTCGTGCACAGCCTGCTTCAATGCAACTTACCTTTCAATCTTTTGCATGGCCCTACATTGTATCTGCAATGGGACAGGTAATAAAGGGCCTACATAAAACTTTCAAGACCACTGTGTGGGTTACATGAAACATTTCTGCCATATATTGGCTCATTTCACTTGTCTACGTCCTCCTTAAGTCTGCTACAATTTTTCTAACTCTAACTACATTTTTAAATGTAGTGCTATCTGTAAACATTGAAATAATGCCCTCTAACTCTAGACATGGTTATCTACATCAAAAGAAGAAATGGTGTTAATGCTGACCCTTGGGAACGCTCTTGTATGCTTATCTCCAGTCTGAAAAATAACTGCTCACCGTTAATACAAAAGCATAACTCTGCAGATGCTGGAGTAGCTGGAATAAAACCAGAAAGTGTTGGAAATACTCATCTTGACTAGCAATAGCTGTTGAGAGAAAATGGCTTACCACATCAGCTCAATGATCTTTGATCAGAATTAATTCCATATCTAATATGCCATAATCCTAATGGCACTATTGCACACTGTTAAGTGCCCTTTGAAAGCTTTTATGTACAACGTCAACTGTAATATGCTCATCAGCCTTGCCAACTAAGATATACAATGAATTTTGTCAGTGACGATTTGTCATTATCAAACTTGTTTTCGTTGTCATTTAACTTTTTGACAGTCAGGCAAGCACCTGTACAGATCTATCTTAAGATAATAATTAATTAATCCTGGATCAAGCTGGAATTCAATATAGTTTGACAGGGTTGACCAAAAGGAGAAAATAAATACTTATTAACCTACAACAGAGGGGGCAGCACAGCAGTTAGCATTGCTGCCGCACAGCTCCAGGGACCTGAGTTTGATTCCACCCTCGGGTGACTGTGTCTGTGTGGGTTTCCTACCACAGTACAAAGATGTGCAGGTTAGGGTGGATTGGCCATGCTAAATTGCCCATAGCATGCAGGGGTGTGCAGGTTAGGTAAATTAGCCATGGGAATACGGGGTTACAGGGATGGGGTGGACCTGGGTGGGATGCTCTTTGGAGGGTCGGTGTGGACTCAAGGAGCAGGATGGCCTGTTTCCACAGTTTAGGGATTCTATAACCAATACGAATGTTTTCCCTCCTTAGTGAAATTAAGTATGGCGAATTTAGTTGTGACTATTTTTCTGTACATTCACATACTCACCATAAAGTAACAATTTATTATTGGTCTAAGTACAGTGTTTATCAGTCCATCTGGAGGGGGATTGGCTAAGTGCTTAAGGATGACAGTTTATCTTAACAAGGAGGCACTACTTTAGAACATTTTTCATTTATCTTCAGTAGTTAAAACTTGCCTGCATTTGAACCAGTAGAACCAAAAATAGGATATTTTAACCTCCAAATCATAGGTTCAAGTTCTACTTATGAACTTGAGCCATACTGAAAGGAATGTTGTATCATCAGATGTATTAACTTTAGGTTGACATGCAAAATCAACTCTGCTTATTTAGGCAAATATATAAAGATTCCATAGTATTATTCAAATGTTATCCTGGCCAACATTCACCGCTCAATCATCAAAATAAGTTATCTGCTAATTTATGTTTTTTTCTCTAACGACATCATGTAAAAACTTGTGGCTTCTATTTTTCTATATAACACAGATTTTCCTTCACAGGTAATTATTTGGCTGTGAAGAGATATGGGATGTCTTGAAAAATGCAAGATGAAAAATTTTAAATTATCTCTAGCCTATTCTGAGAGGGTTAGAACCAAGATAGAAAATGTCTGTATTTTCATTCAAATTGATAACCTTACTGAAAAAGGTCTTAAAGCTGAGTTACAGGTAAATCTAAAAATTACACAGATGAAGTTGAAATTCAAGCATGCTCTTCAGAGTAAAATTACCAGACCATTGCCATCATTGATCCAAGAGTTCACACTCTAATATTAGGTGGAAGGTATTCCATTTCAAATAGTTAAAACAAAATGACTGATCAAAAGCTAGGAAAAGAAGGACAGAATTGTTAGAAGTAGACTCACTCTGCACACAACACTTTCCCAACGTCACAATGCAGCATGTACCATTGTCAGGTTAAGTAATTTTTGAAGTTCTTTGCTTCTTTGTCCTTTACAAGCATAAATATGATCATTCCACTTTAAAGATTATATCGGAATATTATAGAGAATCTAACGAGGTTGCATAGGTCAAAGGTGTTCTATCCCTGAAGAATCTAATTCCATTCAAACAGAAACAGACAACTTCTATCGTTAAATGAGACACTAGGTTTTGTCATGTCTCCTGGCCAGCCTTGCAACTTGCAAACGCTGTATGTATATGCTGATCTCTTTTCCCCGATTCCTAAAGTGCATTAAGGCCTGTTCGTTCATCACCTCTGTGCTCAGTGAGCTACAGCGATTCCAGGTGTGGTAACTTTGGGGAAAGTTGTGATGAAATAGTAATGTCACTGGACCAGTAATCTAATGTTTTTGGACAAGGATTTGAATCCTTCCATGGCATACATTGAAATTTGAACACAAAATCTGGAATAGAAACCCAGTCTAACGATGACCATATAACCATTGTCAATTGTCATTAGGACCCACCTAGTTCAATAATGTCCTTTATGGAATGAAATCTACAATGCTTACTTGATCCAGCCTGTAAGTAACTTCATATCCACAGCAAAGTGATTGTCTCTTAATAGACATCTGGACAAGTAGGTTAGAGTAATAAATGCTGACCTAGACTGGGACGCCTACATCCCAGTAACAAATTTAAAAACTTCAATGTTAAAATTCTTACAGTTGCTTCCCTACAGTTGCCACCATGGTCTAACCTAATCTGCAGCTCCTGAACTCTGAAAATTTTGGTCCTTTGCTGATCATCTAATTCTTTCAATCCCCCAGTAGCAGCCTGGCTTTCTGTTAACAATGCTCCAAGATCTATAATGCTCTCTCCAAATCTATTTGTCCATCCCTCTCAAGATGCTCCTTGAAGCTTAACCCAATGAGCACTACTGTCCTAATAGCTCCTTATTTGGCACGATCACAACTTTTGTTGGATAATGCCTGTGAAGCACCTTGGAAATGCTTTCACTGTTTTAATAGCACTACTAAAATGCAAGTTGTTGCAGTGTTAAAATTGCAGCCAAAAGTAAATGCTTACCTTTGACTTAAAAAGAATATAATTCCATCAAATTTTGTTTTAACCAGCACCTTACCAACTGGCACTTTTGATAAACTGGCAAAAATCACATACCAGTCAATGACAGTTGTCATTACCCTAGGATGAGGGATTTCAAGACTAGGGGACATATCTTTAAAGGTGTGTGTGAGAGAGAGAGAGAGAGAGAGAGAGAGAGAGCGCGTGAGAGCACGATCGCGAGTTAACAAAGGCAGGGGGCAAATGTTTTACACAAAGGGTGGTTCGCATGTGGAATGAACTTCCTGAATAAGTGATGACGTAGGTACAATTACAACATTTAAAAGACATTTGGATAAGTACATGAGTAGGAAAGGTTTGGAGGTATATGGGCCAGGAGCAGGCAAGCGGGACTAGTTTATTTTGGGATTATGTTCAGCATGAACAGGTTGGACCTAAGGGTCTGTTTCTGTGCTAAAATGACTCTATGACCTCAAATAATGCATTCTACAAGTATATATGCTGTAATTAAAGTGTAACAGTGACATGCATAGCCCATGCACTGCATTTCTATTACTCTGTCATTTTACATAGATGTTTTGAGATGCTGATGCCTCAAAGCTTCACTTGGTCAGGGCTTACTGTTGTTATGTGTACCTCCTGATTATCCGGAATATTTGATCAAGCAGTACAGCCCTGGTCCCAGTCAGGCCAGTTAATAAAAAGTTTGCTGTACTACACTTACCTTGTTCACAGTGGACATTTTTCATGGATATTGTGAAGCAGTACAGATTATACATTTCCAGGAACCAGATGGAATTGCAAACAGGGGACAGCAGCAACAGGCGGCTGCTGGGGTCTTACTCGCCCTGTATAACGATCCAGAAGTGTCTTAAATGCGTGTTGTCTCAAAATACAAATCAGTCAACGCTCATGAATTCAAAAGAAAAAAAACACCTTTAATTGTATTTTTAGAGTAAACAAACATATTGCTGAGAAATTTCTCAGAAAACAAAAGGACAATTCTGTAGAAAAATATTATAAATTACTCTCTTCCTCACCAAAGAAGTTTACGCGATTAAGCCTAACAGTTACCATTTAGTACTTTTGCCATAATGATACCCAATGTGTGTGCGTGTGTGTGTGTGTATCCTCTTTTCTTCAAAATTTGTAAGAATGACAGCTATCCAACTGAAACGAATATTCTTTACCATGAACATTAAGTGGGTGCTGGAAGGGTGTTTATCACAACTGTGAAATTTAAAACTAGGTTTCAGCCTCAGGAAAAAATAAGAAGGTTGTATATTTAGGACAGAGATGAGGACAAATTTCCTCCCAGAGTTGTAAACAGCAGAGCATGCTTAGAGTTCAAATGACCTTATCCTGCTACTATTTGATACATTAGCAATGTTATAATTGTGAATAGTCTGGCATGAACTAGTGTTTTTGTGAGTATTTAATGATTTTTCTTTTTCAAACAAACATTCAGCATAGCCTTTGCCCAATTTTCTTAAAATAATTTTTCTACATTTTGGTTCCCTTGGATAGGATGCTTAGAAGAAAAAAAAAATGTATAAACTTGTACGTGTTGATTTGTTCCCTACACCCACATTTTGGGCAAAAATCTTGTTACTGTCCAGTGATAAACTCCCTTCAAACCATTTTATAGAACAATATGTTGAACCATAAATACACAATAGTATAGGGCTGCTACTTTCTACTTTATTTAGAAAAAACATATAGGAAGTGCAATATTTCCATAAACTTGTTTGTGTAGCTAAATCTAGTCTACCTCCATATTAAAAAAAGCTATCCTACTGTAAACAATTTACCTTAAAAAGATACACAGTAGTAACCACAAATTGCATACTACTTCTGCTCATAAAATTCTATTGGAATATTTTTAACTTAAATGAAGGAGGTAACCTAATCATCCCACATTCTGAAAAAGCACAGTAGATTAGGCTTCATTTTTGGCTAGAATAAACATTTAAAATGATTTTCAACTTGTCATGTTGATAAGTCAACTTTTCTTATCACTAGTTTGAAGAGGACTATGTTTCAGAGTTCATGCGAGTATTTTAAAATGGAGCTAAACTGCAAAACAAATATGAAAACTAACTGTAAACATTCCATTAGAGCTTACATGAGGTCATAGTTTCTTATCCAAAAGACGTTTAAAAAGTAGGCTCAGGCAGAAGTGAATATATTGCACGTATATTGGCAATTATTGCCATTAAATTGAACAATGACATCAGTGTTTACTTGTGAGTTCAAAAAGAAGTAGCCACTTCAGAGAGGGCTGTATTAAGATAACTGGTTTGGTATCTTTGACCGGAAGCATTATATGCTGATGAAGTTGTTTTAAAAGGTCTCTGTATCACAGGTGGGTGAAGTGAGGGTCCTGTCCTTCCAGATTCTCTAGATAAAACACTTTCAGAAGTTTGAGGTTCCGACCTTGTTACGTGGCCATACTGCTGAGTATATTTTAATGGCTGATCCTGTAGAATGGAAGAGACTGCACCACTAGATGAATGCAGTAACGTTGCAGGTATTGAAGAATAAGCAAGCACATAGCTCTGTTTTGAGTGAGAAGAGAATTTTCCACATTCTGTCGTTTGAGAGGTCAAGTTGTAATGGGGGTCAGAACTGCAAGGCGTTTGGCTTTTCTTACGACAGGGGAACACACCTAAATTGGAAGAGAAGGGTGAAAAATATTTAGAACTTCAAAATGTTGATTTTAACATTGCATCCTAATAAATTTCAAGTGCAAATAAAATGAGAATGTTAACTTTGTTTTTCTGTTTGGAAAATATTTTCCATTACTGCATAAGAGATTCTAGGTTGATTAAACTAGCATCAAATTGAAGTCACACAATCATGATCTAATTAATTGTTTACCATTCTGCCTTTGATCAATTACTGCATGTCCTTTTCTTGATCCATCACCACTTATGTCAGAATCACTATCATTGAAGTCACTATCTCCTTTCCCACTGTCTTTTCCGCTGAATACATCTTGTCCAGGACATACATGGGTCCTGCAAGGGAGGAGTAAGGAAACATTACAAGAGGAAAAATATATCTTAAAAAAAGAGTTAAAAATCTTAAGAGCACTTAAAAGGAGAAAAACCAAATTCTGGTATTCTTTATTAATCATTTCTGACTGCACATGCTTATAAATGTATAAATACATAAAATTGACTCAAACAATCCACTTACTTGATATTTTGATGAAAGGCAACTGTACAAAAGGCTCCATGATTGACATCAGGCTCTGGCATAAAGCTCTAAAAACAAGCAAAGTAGTATTTCACTTTTTTAGTGCTGTTTATAATTATTACTTCATTATTGAATTACATAACATGTTGTTATAGTTTTATAACAATTAACTTGCAGTAGATTTCAGTAACTATAAAATCACAGCACTGTTAGTGAAGAAAGAAGTGAAAATGATTACTTCTATGATAGGCAGATGAATAATTGACAACTCATTATCCCAATGACATATTCATGCTGTGCACAGATCAATGATCACACAATGGAACTGCATGACTTTCCATCAGTTGTCATTTGGATACTTTGCAGTTCGAGGGTATATTAAGTACTTGATTATTAAGTGAGGCAGATAAAAGCTTCATTCATAAAATGTACTTTCTCTAGTGGGTTGAACTTTTTTTTCCCCACTATTAACATAACGTAGTTAAACATGAAGTCAAATGTGTATTGCTGGAAAACAAGTCCATCTGCTAAATGTTCTTAAGCTTGTTTGACGGCTGTCCTACAATGTATCCGACTGTAAAGCATCCAGTACAGTTAATAGCCATACCATTCAGTAGCATTACTTTCTAAAAAGGGTAGCAGATATCTGGAACCCTCACTCCAGAAGGAGGTGAATAAATGTTCCAACAGCAGGAACTTTAAAAGTTTGAAAATAGATTTTAGTCAGGCAAGGTTTAAAACCTGAGGAATTTGAGTAAAAAAAGTGTATAAATTGGCATGATGTAGCTATCACCTCTTTGAATGGTGCAAACATCCGAGGGATTGAATAACCTGGCCCTACATTTAAACACACAAAAGCTATAGCAATTTTGAAAGCTGCAATTTTCAATACACAATTATAGTCCAGATTGTGCTGTACCAGTGTGGCTTTTTACAAATAATATTACTCAAGTGTAAATCAAACATCCATTTCCAGTGACAGCATGTGCAGTTAAATGCAGAAATCCAGGCATACTTGAACGTACTGCAGCTGCCCTGCTTTTCAAGAAGTTTTGATATACTGGAATATCACTGGCAGATTCGACATTGAGACACTCGGTTGTGAAGTCGCTGGACACACACACTTCATTTGCCAGGAAACAAAAGTGAAGTACCCCCTAAATGATGTGATATAACTGCTGATAAACATTTCTCTGGCATGAAGTTTTTGTTTCAATTATCGAGAGTCTCATCTCTTCAGCTTTCACCTATTGCAGATTTAAAAATTTTCTCTGTATGAAACTACTTTAGGTCTGTTCCATCTCTTAATTTCAACAGAGAGGCTTGGATCACGATCTGAAAAAAAAGGGAAAAAGAAAAAAAGGACTACAGATAAAAAGAGGGCAGGGGCACGACTATAGGTGAATTACTCATTCTGATGGCCTGTGATGTCGCTGCTAGCTAAGTGGCCTTCTGTGTTGTAATTGCAAAATGAGATGGTTGGTAAAGTATGTGGAGATGTCCCAAATCCAGAAATACCCTAGCTCTTACCCTAAAATGCAGTACAAGTATGGCCAGTTGGTATTAGGGTCAGGGATAATCTTACTTTTTTAAAAAATAAAAACAAATTGCTGGGTTTCTAAAATTGCAGAGTTTCTCCGGCAATTTGTTTTTTGTTTAAATTAAGATTTGTGGGGTTTCACTTTGTCCCAGACCCTAATTCAATTGGCCATACCTGCACTGCATTGAGAGAAACCCTCCAACAATTTCTGTTTGGGTTTACAGATTTCCAAAATTCACTGGTTTTGTTTTAGTGTTCAACAAATCTTAATAGTGCCTTGCATCATGATTGCCTGTGGAAAATTGCAGTAGTTGTTTAAAAAAAAATCACAAACAGAAACAGAGACTGCTGGAGAAACTACCCAGCAGCATCTAGAGAGAAACAAGAGTTAAAATAAAAACATGATGTCCTTTAGGGAAGGAAACTGCCATCCTTCCCTGGTCTGGTCTACATGTGATTGCAGACCCACAGCAATGTGGTTGACTCTGAACTGCCCTCTGGGCAGTTAGGGATGGATAATAAATGCTGCCTAGCCAGTGACACCCTCATCCAATCAATCAATGAATAAAAAAGGCTCGCATTCTTGCGGTAGTGTTTTGAGTCTGGTGACCCTTCATCGGAAGGATCTTGATCTTTGTTTTGTGTAACCTGTATGCCTCACTCTGTCTATGCACCCTTTGATCTGCCTGCGCTGCTTGCAAAAACCAAGCTTTCCACTGTAATTAGGTACATGTGAGCACAAATAAAAGTCAAAATCAGAATGGTCAGTGAACTGGAAAGATAAAACTCTGCTTTCTCTCCAGCAGACGCTGCCAGAGCTGCTGTGTTTTTCTAGCAATTTATGCTTCTGGTTTCAGATTCCCAGCCTTGTTGGTTTTATTTTTAAAAAGTGTTAAATTCACAGTTGGAGAGTTTAATTTGGGAAGTTTAAGTTGTTGATTACCTCCTGAGTGTTGCCAGGGAGTTGATGCTGTGTTTCCAGGAGAGACACTCCCTTCCTCGCCTCTTCCGAATCTCCGTCACTGTGCAATCCGCCCGGGGACGGGGGACGGGCAGCGTCGGGCCGGGGGTCCAAGGCTTGGGGCGGCCGCCCGCCACCGTGTCCGCCCCGGCTCTTGTCTCCGGTGCCGCAGGTCGAGGCGATACCGACGATGGCCAGCAGCAAGGCCACGCAGCCGGCGGCCAGCACCGCGATGACGGTGAAGGAGGTGTCCCAGCTCCGCTGTGCCGGTCCCGGGGAGCCGGAGGGAGCTGGAGCGGGCCGAGGCCCGGGCCCCGCCGTGAAGCTCACGGTGACGGTGGAGGACAGCGGGGGCAGGCCGCCGTCACTAACGGCCACGACCAGGCTGAAGGCCCCGGGCCCGGGCCCGGCGGGGGACACGGAGAGCGGGCGGCCCAGGTACACGTCCCCGGTGTCGGGGCGGATGGTGAAGAGCCCGGGCGGCTCCCCGCTCACGATCCGGTAACTGAGGCGGCCGTTCGGCCCCTCGTCCGCGTCCTGGGCCCGCACGCGCGCCGCCAGGTAACCGCGGGGCGCGCCCCCGGGCAGCGCCATCTTGGCGGGAGCGGGAGCGGCGGAGCGGTTCCCGGGAGATGGAGGAGGCGGCGGCGGGTGAGTGATGAACGGAGCGTTGTCGTTCCGGTCGGTAATGATCAGGCGGACGGTGGTGGAGCCGCTGAGCGGCGGGGAACCGCCGTCTGTCGCCTGCAGCAGCAGCTCGAGCTCGGGCAGCTCCTCACGGTCCAAGGAGCGGAGCGCGTACAAGGAGCCGGTGTGAGGCTCCACAGCGACGGCCGGAGGCTGCAGGCCAGGCCCCGGCCCAGGCCCCGGCCCCGGCCCCTCGTGCGGCTGCAGCAGGCGGTAAGTGAGGCGGCCGTTAGGGCCCAGGTCAGGGTCACGGGCCCGGACGGTACCGAGCTGGGCCCCGGGCAGGTTATTCTCCGCCAGCGACAGGCGGTAGACGGAGCGGGGGAAGGCGGGCGCGTTGTCGTTCACATCGGTGACGGTGACGGTGAAAGGCCTGACCGTCCGGCGGGGATCCGGGCCTTGGTCCTCGGCCACCAGCGTCACGTTATACTCGGTGTCCCGCTCCCGGTCGAGCCGTTCCGCCGTCACGATCATGTAGTGGTTAATGCCATAAGCCGGCCGTAAGTGTAACTCCCGGGGCCCGAGCAGTGATACCGAGAGGCGGCCGTTAGCTCCTGAATCCCGGTCCCACACACTCACCAGCGCCACGAAACTACCCGGTTCCGCCGCCTCGGTGATGGACGCGAGGCCCGAGGCCTCTCCGGGACCGGGACCGAGCGCGCTCACGCGGATCTCGGGCGCGTTGTCGTTGACGTCGAGCACGCGCACCGCCACCCGGCAGCTCGAGGCGCGCGGCCTGGCGCCGCGGTCGCGCGCCTCCACCTCCAGCTCGAAGCGGGCGCGCGCCTCGTGGTCGAGCTGCGCGTTCAGGCTCAAGCGGCCGGAGCGCGGCTCCAGGCGGAAGAGGCGCCGAGCGTCCGCCTCGACCCTCGGGCTGAAGGTGAACCGGAGCTCGCCGTTTAGGCCTTGGTCCGGGTCCCGGGCCTCGAGTTGCAGCAGCAGCGAACCCGGGGCCGTGTCCTCCCGCAGCTCGAGCTCCAAGGAGCCGCTCCCAAAGGCCGGAGCGTTATCGTTCTCATCGAGGACCCGCACCCGGAGCCGGGCCTCCCCGCTCCGAGGTGGATTACCCCCGTCCCGGGCTCTCAGCTTCAGGCTGAGCTCGGCCTCACTCTCCCGGTCAAGAGGCTTCACCAACAGCAGCGTCGGTGCCGGTACCGGCTGCTGGACCCCGCCGCTGCCTGCACCGTCCGACAGCTCCAGCTCCAAGTGACCGTTCACCGAGAGCTCGTAGCCCCGCACCGAGTAGGAGCCGGTGTCGGCGTCTAGAGCCGCGGGGAGAGGGAGCCGGGTCCCCGGTGCTGAGCTTTCGGAGATTTCTAGCTCGATCTCGGGCTGGGGGAACTCGGGGTAATGGTCATTAATGTCCTGCACTTGGATCTCCACATGGATCAGGAGGAACTTGTCCCGGGAGAAGCTCACCACATCCAGGAGCAGCAGGCACGGCTCCCGCTCCTCGCAAAGCTGCTCCCGGTCAATGCGGCTTCCTACCGTCAGCTGCCCGTCCCTTTCCCCGACCCTCACCGGGACCGAGCCGTTATACTCGGGCATCAGTCGGAAACCGCTCTGGCCCCCGGCCCCGCCGGCCGCCTCCAGCTGCAGATCGGTGGCCAGGTTTCCGATCACGGTGCCGGGCTCTTGCTCCTCGTACGTGGAATATCTGACCGTTTTACAGTCACTCATCGTCGGAGCGAGGAGGAGGACAAGAAGCAGGAAGCAGGGCTCCCTGGAGGGACTGCAGCCCGGGACACCAGCAACCCTGCTTCTACCTCTCTCAGGGCTCATTCTGCAGACTCTTCACTCAGGAAAAGTGTCCAGATTAAACTTTCTTGGTGCACTGAAAGCACGTTGCTCTCCTATCACTACGTGCAAACAATTACACTGACAGTCAAATGTCCGTCTTGAGTACCCCTACTGCTTGGGGTCGTTTTATTGCTAATATCATGCAAATAAGAAAGTCAGTGGCCAATCCTCTCCTCTCAAGGGCGAGCAAATGTTGTCTTTGATGTTCAGGACATTTGCAAATTTAACTCGCCCCAACAAACTGAAGACAAATTTTGTTTAAAGAAACAGTTCACAAATGTTCAACATTGACGAGAGTTTCATACTGAACTTCGCCTGTTTTTGTTTTACTTTTGGCCGCAATTAGAAACACATTTAACAATCGTTTTATTTTGTAGCCAATTATTCTCCACGATCTTCAGACTCCCGTTACTTCAGAGCGGTATTCGTATAGATTCTTCCAGTCGTAAAATTCTGCAATTTGCTTAAAGTCATTGTTTATTTTACGAAATTTACTCCATATACTCAAACCAGAAGATAAATTGCTTGTGTGGTTGTGCAGTTGTCGGAACCACCTAACGCTCACTTAGAGCCCTCCAGCATGGAAACAGATCCTTCGATTAAACTAGTCCACGCCTAGTTCCCAAAGCAAACTAGTCCCATCTGCCTGCATTTGGCCCATATCCTTACAAACTTTTCCTATTCATGTCCTTATCCAGCTTATTTCGTTAATTGAGTTTACAGGAGATCAGAGCCAATCACAGCGCTATGAGAGATTTAATTTCGGAGTTGTATGTTAGTCTCCTCCGCATTATTTGTACTGATCTGTGAGCATTACATTTTCATTGTTGTATTATCATTTCTCTTCACAATTGCAATTAAACTAAAGATCTTTTGACTCTAAAGATTTGCTTTTTATTTAAATTTCTGGCTTTTGATAATAATGCTAGATTTTCGAATTTAAAAGATTGTGCATCCTTAAATTGTAACGTATCACCAGCGCAGTAAAGCCTTATAATCTTTTTAAAGGCGATTTTAGAAAGTGAATCGTTAGTTACATTCAAGGGATTCTATAGGTTATGATTGTGAAGGGAGAGAACTGCTTATGGCTGTCAACAAAATGGATCTTGTAGCTTGAAGAGTCATTGATGTTTTAATACTAATAAACTGTAACAAAATTGCATTACACTTGTTTTAATGTTCGCATTCAGTCGGATTTTAAGTATTTAATGAGCCGTGGTACGAAATCTCGTTAAGATTAGCCCAGTTGATCCTAACAACAGGCAGAGATAACTAAGGAACAGAAGTCTGTCATTTGCAATATCCGGGAAAGACTTCAGTCCCGATATTGACCCTCCAACCGCCTGCACTAGCTGTTGGCAGGCTTCGTGTGCACTGTGTTAACTAAGCGCACCATTACAGCAAAAACCAGATGTGGGATATTATGTAAAAAAAAAAGTATGCTCCAAGTATTTGAATAAACAAAAACAGAAATTGCAGATGCTGCCAGACTTGCTGAGTTTTTCCAGCAATTTCTATTTTTGTTTCTGATTTACAGCATGCCCAGTTCTTTATTAAGTATTAGAATAATATTAGGATGGAGCAATTTTGGAATAAATTGAGAATCCAAGGGTTTATTTGCATTTTAGTTCTCTTGCCTAGTGCAGTGTGATTTGAATCTCGCATCTATAGTCGTTGGAAGAACCCGTTGGAAGTAATTGTGTTAACCGATAAACTGTCTTATTGGACAGCTCACCGCAGGACAGATCTTGGTGCGTTCTTGATCAGATCTAGTCTGCTTTATAGCTGAAGCAACTCTATGCGTTTCTTTCTTTAAAATAAAACTTCTGTGTCATCAACATATATTAAGTGGGTTAATTTTTTTTTTTAAGTCCTGCAGCCAGTTAAGAGAACTGGTGTGTTGTAGAATAAAATAAATGAGTACAGCTAAATACCGTTTCCCTGTACGTGACGTGCTGTCTTATGCTGCAGGTTGCAGAATAGTTTTAGTTAACTTCAAATGTTGCAATTTACGAATTAGGTCCAGCGGACTGAAATTAGTGCCTTTCCCTGAATGTGAGAAATAAGAAATTTTGCAGTTTGTTTTATTCCTACATTTGGCAGGTATGTTCCTGTTTGTGTTCCCGCTAATACATCATTATCAGGTGGCATTTGCTGGCTTTGGCCATTTGTGAGTAGAGGAGGCAGAGACATTTGGCTCTGGAGCAGCAGTGTGAGGTGTGGGCGCACTCTGCCGTTTCACGAAGGCCGGGGAGGACACGCGAGAGAAGTGAGAATCGTTTGTTGATGAAGCCGCCTTCGAGGTGGGTGGGGGTGGAGTCGGATGGCGCTCTCCAGCGCCTGAAACCCTGCCGAGAATACTTTTGTCACTCCTATGTAAAACGCCAACAAAAGGATAATCTCCCTTGTTACCATTTCTAAGCATCGGAACGACATTGAGGCGCTGTGGGGTGGGGGGGCTTTCCAAAGCATTTCAGGAAAATGCCACGGTTGACAATGAAACAGACGATTTGGAATGTTGGCCGGATTGAGCCAAGTTTTGATTTGGAGCGAACAGTACATTCTACCGAAGGCCTGCATTACAAGCCTGAACTAAAATAGAATTGCTCAGAACTTGTTAAGGTATATGCACATATCTCCGAACGGGGAACTCACTGGAGGAAGTTAATGCCTGAATAATCTTTCTTTTAAAAAAAGTCTGCGTTTTAAAATTCTAAAGCAAAAACTTACATGGGGGAAATCCTGAATGCCACTTTTTGTTTTCCCTCTCCTCTCTCTCTCTATCTAGCAGAAGTAAATATGTTTGGCTAACGTGAGGTTGACCCGACTGCTGTGTGGTTCCCAGCACAGTTCAGTGAAGTAACACCGAAGTCATCTCAAAACAGTGAGCTGGATGGTTTCAGCTTGTCCTTCATCTGTTATATCGTTTATTGGGTTCAGTGAAGGTTAATGGCTTTTGAATGCAGAAGCAGTAACATTCGTTGGCTTTCAATCGATCGGAAGTCTATTAGTATGGAAGCTCCAGCGATGAACACTGGTGTAGAACTTCTCAATCCCCGCTTCTGGTACATGGTGTAAGGTGGGAGGAGGACAAGTGAAGAAGGTAGTTATCATTAACTATATTCTCCTCCATTAATACATTTCGCACTGAATAGCAAAACAGCCCATCATGGAATGCTCCAAAGGTTTCTCTCACGGCAATGATGTTGAGAATCTTTCCATTTATCACATAGACAGGAAAGCTTTTACTGAAGAATGCCCCAGTGTTTTCTTTTTGCTTAGCTCGAGTCACCCAGTGAAATCAAACGTAAAGTGGTAAATACTACTATGGTAATAAATTGTTCTTCCTGTCTCATTTGTTATTTTCTGGTCAGAAGATCTGACAAAAGGAGATGTTTTTCCACGTTTCCCATGCAGTTTCCAACAGATTTTAATCTATATTTGGCCAAACCAGCTCAAAAGAATTTACAACTTGGGGGAATTGCGCCAAGATGTTAGCAGGAACATGAAGCGTAATCAAATCACTGTAGTTTGAAGTGCGTTGTTAAAGTGATTCCCCAAAGCAGAAACTTAGCCTCATGGTTCAGAATCTGACATTTATTGTAAATTTCGTATTGTCAGAGTGCTTGAATCCGAGAGAAATAACAAAGGCAGAGCAACAACCGGCTCTCAATGTTAGCATGGATATTCATTTAAAACCTCTTGGAACATCCTATGAAATGTGATGGTCTTAATAAAACTGGTTTGTCGCTAATCTAACAGGTGCCAGCATTGACTTTCTGATAGGACTCTTGCCTCGTAATTAACTAGGATTTCCTACAGTAATGAAGGAGAATTGCACTTTCTAAAGGTCTCCTCTTTCACATGATACATGAAAACCAGTGCCTGGTCAGCTGTCTTACATAGATGTGCTATTGCCCATGCACTATTCAAAGACAGGCATGGATATTCTGCTCTGCAGTCTAGCCAACATTCTCCCTCTGCCCCCACCCCTCACGCAATTCTCTCAACCATACCTAAAATGGATGATCTGGTGATCATCTTACTGTTTATAGGACAGTGCTGTATTTTGGAATGCTTTAAATCCACAAATGGTGCTCAATGCATATACTTTCTTTTCTTAATATTACAAATAACTCAGGTTGCAAGAGGTTCTGCACCATATGCCCTTTTTTAATCTTCAAAGAGCCGGCATCAACGTCAAATAGTTCAGCCCTGCATTCTGGAAGTGTAACCAAGCCCACTTGCTTATAACAAAGACAACAGAAACAGCAAAACTATCGAAAATATCAACTAATTAATTAGTACAACTTATTCAACCATGCATCAGGGGAATAGAATCTACAGAAAGTAAAACTCCATAGGAAGATTTTTTTAAATGTACTCTTCCTCATATCTTTTAAGGGAGTTGAAAACTTTGTTCTATCGCAGCATGAAAGGCATTATCACTAAGTATGAGGATGAAAATGTGACAAATAGTGAATGTAACACTTCAAGTGCATCCTACATATCTCAAGATGCCACAAACTGACTTAATCAGTGGCAGTAAAGATCCTTGACTAGGTTCACATATTAGCTACAACAAAGTAAACTGACAGCATCGGAATTTCTCAGTTGAATCCTGTTTTAGACTGCAGTTACACAACTACTTTCACAACATCATAAAATTTCTAATATGATTGTATTACTCCAAAATCCAGACCTATTTGATTCAAAACCATAAAATTTCAAGACTTCTTTGGAGTCATGATTCATACTTTTGACATTCAATAGTAAGCCAAGTTTAAAAAGTACCCGAAAGATTTAAAAATGTGCAGGGTTCATTTATCATTCCAGATAATTTTTAAGTAAGCAGTACCTATTTTATATGTTTTAAATATTGAATTCTGTGTCCATACCTTCGTTTAGTGTTTGCTGTTCTGTACTAAGCAGAACATAATGTAATCCCATAGCATAAACAGTGTGAGTTCTTTGGCAGCAGGACACCACATGATGATTATTGGTTATGAGCTCCTTGAGTTAGAAAACAGTTCACTATGAATTACAAGAGGTTAATTTATGTTTAATATTGTTCCCAAGAGCTAAAATCTCCCCAGTTGTGGAAATTTCATTTGAAAGCTACCCACTTTCTTTATAAACAACAGCAACATCCAATGATGGAAGATGGCATGCATTTATTTTTATTGTGACCTCAGGTTGAGTAAGTAATTATCTTGTGGGTATTAGAATTGAAGATTCACAATTCGAAATACATTTGCCACATCAAATTAAGATCTGCAGTACACAACCTTTAGAGAGAAAAAAAACTGCACTTTCTTTCAATTCTTTATAGATGAAAACTGAAGAAAACATCAGGTTAGATAGCCCCAGTAGGACACTGCAACAAAAGCAAAATAAAAAGGTCAATGAAAACTTTTTTTAAAAAAGCAGCAATAGAAACTTACCAAAGCATTAAATTGAAAATATTGTTAATGGCAGCATTGCACACTCTGCAGGAGCCATTTCTCACAAAAGGCCTGCACTCTGCTGGTGGAACCTGCGTGCTTCCACTCCACACACACTCCAACATGGATGTAACCATGAAAAACTGACAACAGAGTCAGGTGTTACGACCCCATGATATGATTGCTTGGACCTGTTGATGGTCACATTGGTAACGCTCAGGTGCAGACCCATGATGAGGTCCTTGCAATCAGCCAGCCCTCTTCCACACAGGATGCCCATAGAACAGGAGCATGGGTTTGAAGTGCAGGCAAATATCTAAAAGCTGTCCCTTTAAATCAGTGAGCAAGGGCTACAATATTTAAAACCAATTCAAAATAAATGTGAAAAACTGTTTCGTCCAGGCCCAAAGAGTACATTTAGCCTGGCACCCAGTAAGTGTGCTTATGTATTGTATAGGGTAGTTGTATGCAAAGTTCTCCACCCCATATCCCCTGTGGAAAGGGGATCCACCACTGAAAAGGAGGACATCACACCAAAGCATGTCCAAATGGCAGACAAAGGTGAGGAAATGGAGAGGGCGCAGCAACAGCCCATCCAGGAATCTCACCCCTCTACATGCCCTCACCCCCACCAATAACACCACCGGTTTAAAGGACACAAATGGAATTTCTTTGAGACAGCTAAAGTTGCGGGGCACAGCATCCTAAGGGAGAGTTCGGTCTCCAGAGCCAATGTTGAATTCTGAATGCTCAGGAATCTGTTCACTCGAAAGACACTGCATGCATGAGCCACCTTGACACTGATTTCTTTTTTGTGAGGAGCCAATTACCACAATCATGAGACTCTGGATAACTTTAGCCACATAGTGGATGTTAACCAAATGCCTTAACTGCTCATTTTTCCAGCATTATCTGGGTTGCTGCTTTGCCAACCAACACATCAGTGTCTAGTCACTCCATATCCTGAGCATCTCCTCTGCCAACCACATAAATCCCAGCTGATGGAAGGCGCAGTTCCTGAGCAGCAACTGCCTTGCTCAGCCCCCCAACTCATACTTAGTGAGTACTGAGAGGAAGGCAGGAGAGAGAGAGAACGCTATGGTATCTGTGTCCCAAACATTGATTGAGTCCAGATAAAAGGCAATCAATTCCTGGAGGAAGGTTTGAAGGCTCATCCATTCCATGAACAGAAACTGCATGTGGCCATGTACCTGAAAGGTACACCATGTCAGGGTGAGCTTCATCACGCTCACTGTAAAAGCATTATCTAAGAGTGGAGGCATACTCACTGACTCTCCTTCCTAAGCAGGAGACTCATTTGATCGGTTGCAATCCAGTGTTGCAATTTGTTCCAGAGAAATCCTATGAGCTTTACTTTCATATT